AACGAGTTCATTGACCCCCGGTGTCTCTCCATCCGGGACTTCTTTTGCTGGACTTGAAAGACATGTTGTAGATGCCTCACCTTTTGTATTTCTCCCTGGATCTCGTTCGCATTGACCTTCGAGTGGATTACGTTGATAACCCGTGGTCTATCTGCCTGTGGCATCGAGGGTGTGGTGCTGTTGCCGGCACTTGGGCCAGCTTTGCCTCTTTCTCTCTTGTTTTTGCCTCGTCTATCAAATCTCTTAGGTGTCTCTGTTTGACAAAGTCCTACAGATGCTGCTTCAGAGCCCGACACCTTTGAGTCATGTGCCCGTTCTCATCTTGGTAACCACAATTCTTCCCGGGATTCCTATCCATGTACTCCCTCGGGGTTTTCTACGGTGCCCTGAAGTAAGGTTGGTTCCTGATCTTTTCCAATATCCTGTAAATTGCAATCTTGAAAACTGTACTCACGGCCTACATGGCCTTCAATCTTGGTTTCGGTTTGTCAACGTTGGTGCTTCCTCGACTACGCTTTGGTGAGCTGTTTCGCTACTCTTGCTTCATTATGCTTGCCTTCTTTGCTTTATTGTCCTCTTCTGCCCTTACGTATTTCTCAATCTTTACCATGAGGTCCTCCATATTTTTTAGGAGGGTCTTTTCAAGAGATTGCCGAAGTGCGTAGTCATTCTCCAAGCCGTTCTTGAAAGACACGACTATAAGTTCTAGGTTACAAGCCGGAATCCGATTGTAAATCTCGTAGTACCTCTTGGCATAAACCCTTAGGCTTTCAATGGAAATGCGAGTCACATCACCTGGTTCTGCATTATGAAGTTAATCATAGTTTGTAAGTCCATCAACTTGGTCGCCAAGTCCTTCATCTCGTTGTCTTTTCTCAAGCATTGTTCTTTCTAGTGCATAATGTGTTAATCATATTCGAATTTTATTATACATGTGTACATATATGTTGTGTGAAAATTTAACTATCAAACAATTTAATTTATATTGAACCTGTCTGTTGGGATCCATACTTGCCCCCTGTGACACAAAGGCCATCATCTCAGCTCTCAGCTGCTGTAAATGTGCAGAGAACTCTGCTCGTAGCTCCTTCCTGAACTCATCCTGTAGCTCCGCACGAACCTGCTGGGTGATTTGAACAATAGTCGATGACTGGGATACTGACTGTGATGGCCCAACACCATCTTTATACACTGCTCTCTGAGGCCCAGTTCTCTCGTATGTGCGACAATATCCATGATTGTCATGACCTATCAACTCATGGAAAATGGCATTCCTAGCCTCCACAGTCCGACAATCCTCAGGTAGCATAGAGAGTTGGGCATTAAACTCATCCTGTATTGAATAAAACATACAAGTATATGCCAAATTAAGATGGTTGACACACAAAAAATAAAAAATAAACTTTAAATACAATCAAATGTGTTTGGAAACTACCAAGGTCTGGATAACCTCTGGGTCGTCTGCTCTACGTGTCATAAGCCAAACATTCATCTTATCTGTAGACTCCCCCTTATTGGTCATCTACATTTTTTTAGAAATATGAAAATTAGAATCCAAATAATTTGCAAATATACAATGTTTATTTATATACAAAAATAAAACAATAAAATATAAACATCATGCCGTATCTGAGCAAAAGTAGTACGCTCTGTGGTATGAGCTATGCCGTGAGCTCGCCGATTTTTAGTGTTCCTAGTTGCAATTTTCTATAACAGGTTCAACAAATGTAAGTACATAAATATGATTTCTATGTTTACATATCATACATATAACTTATTTGTATATCTCAACATCGGAAGTACGCCAATACTCCACAAGTTCTTCCCACTGGCATGGCACAATGTGCAAAGGAACATCATCCTTCAGATTAGGATCTTCGCTTCTAGGCTTGAAATACTTAGACTTAATCTTATTCTTGTGATCCTTCCATATGCTGTTACAGTTTTTCATGCAGATTGGCTTGTACTCCTCTGAACATATATTCAAATTGTCCTATAAAACACAATTTCAAAGTTTAAATAATAATAACACAATTTTGGAATTTCAATTTTTGGACAAAAATATACTTTTACCTTCACATCCTTCCAGATAGCATCAAGAATGTCATCAGGCACAGTGTTCCAGTCAAGAAATGTAAGAAGAACAATGTTACCATTTCGCACAATAATGCCAACTGTTGGGACATGCATCACACGTCTCATAAGTGAAGCCCAAATCTGTTGTGACCTTTTGAGCTTTATAATATGAGTCCGGGAGTTTCACACCCAACGGGAACGCCTCATTCAATAACTCAAGCAACATGTCAACAGACTTGTCTGCCCACTGATTAAGCACCTTCAAATGTAGAAGTCGAACAATGAATGACAAAGATGTGAACTTCTGACAACCCGGATACAATTCACTTTGTGCATCTTGAAGAAGTTTGAAATACTTTGCAGTCTCTGCATTTGGACCGAGCTGGGGTTCAGATGCATGGGGATTAGGCCCCTGTGGTTCATTACCCTCAACACTTGTACCGGCATGTGGATTTCCCATAGCCCCTTGTATCATTCCAACCATATCATCCCCAATGTCTAAATTAGCCAATGTTTCATTCTCTCGATTCTCACATTTTCTACACGGACAACTAATCATCGAACCTTCAACCCTATTGGTGTAGGCAAACACAAGGAATTGATCAATCCCATTAATGTATTCCCTCGACATCCTATTTGGCAAATCAATCCAACTCTTATCCATCATCTGTACTTCCCTCATATGTGTTTCCCACTATTAATTTGCTTCAAGCAAACTTACTAGGAGATATACATCTCACATGCAAAACAAATATGCCCTAGAAAAAAATATAATTACAACAAATGTAAGAGTCATAATGAGATGTAAGGGTAAAAATCTGTTGTGACCTTTTGAGTTTTTTATTTTATTTTAATAATTACTACATTTTGAATCATGTTCCCATAAAATCACAGCCTCTAAGGTCCAAAATGATATTCATGAAAGAAAAGCCAAGATGAATATTTCGAAGAATTACCTACCAGATGGGGTAAGGAAGAAGAAGAATTACCTACCTCTGTATCAAGGTTAGAGGATGAAAATGAGGAGCAACTGGACGAAGGTGCGTGTAAAGGATGTGCTTCTGTTGCAGTAGGATGTAAGCTCTCTGTCATTAAAGATTTGCTTGCATTAATAAATTAAATGTACAATAGAGCTATTTTTTATTTTTTTCTTTTCTTTTCATTATGGCTTTTTATCAAACATGTTTAATTCAAAAAAATTGTGAATGTAAAAAAAGGAAATCAAAATGAAATAGAAGCTGTGTTTTCAAAAAAATGAAAACAGAAATCGAAAACATAGCCAAACACACTCCCTCGTTAATCTTTTTACAAATCTAAGATCCAAACACAAAAAAAAAGTTCCTGGTTGTAAGGAGAGATTGCACTTGTCATTGGTTAATGTACTGCACTAACTGAAATAAAAAGATTTTTGCAACAAACACAAACAAAGGACATGATTTCTTGACATCAAAAAGCAAAAGCAGCCCAGAACAATTTTTGGGATTCAACTATGTAACTAGAGGCAGAAGTATCGAGCAAAAAAGTGTGAGAGAATTAAAATTACCTCCAAACCAGGCACAAAATAGATCCACACATGTCCCAAAACAGTTATACACATTTCAATACACTTTTTACACACTTTTTACCTTAAGGGTTGTTTCTAGCATTGTTCAATATATATGTATATAAACATGTATGCAATAGAAAAGAAGGAACCTCATCCATAAATCATTACCTTAAAGTAGTGGATTGCCCCCTGTAAGAAACCACCATGAGCAGGATCACGAAAATGACCAATATTTAATACACAAATACTTGCAATAACCTACAAAGAAGAACAAGATGAAGAGGAAGAAAAATCAGGAATGCACACATATAAGCCCACACACATCTAAAACCATGTAAACTAAGCATTTCAAATAACAAAATCCAATTATTATAACCATGATTGATGAATCAAATTGCCCTCAAGCTGCTAGACATTAGGCATATTTGATTATGAACTATTCATGTTTTCATCAAAAATTTAGTTAGTATGAACTAACAATGTTTTCATGAATTATTTCAGAAAAAGAAGAAAAACCCATATCAGAGATGATGAGGTTTAGTCTGAAAAACAAAGAATCTGGATCTACAATCAGAGTGCAAAGCAAACAGTAGATCAACCTGTCAATTTCTAGCACATGTAAAGACCTCCTCATTCACCCTAGTGATAATGGGCACTTACAACTCCAATGGAGAAGGAGATAGCTGATGGAATCAATAGGATAAGAGATGAATGTCTATTATGTAGTTCTAAAATCCAAAATATACATATAAATTGAAATTGTAGCTCATCGTACTTCGTGGATTTTTAACGAGTCAATCTCAGATGAATTTTTAACGAGTTAAATACGAGTCGAGTTTCAATAACTTGATTTCTTTATAGTACATATATAAATTTATTGATTTGATCTCCAACAAAGTAGTTTGGTTTGTTTAAGAGTCATCTCTGATGGAATGTTAAATGTGTATATTACTAATGGAAAATAAATGATAAGAAATAAGATTTAATTTTATTTGTTACAAGTTTTGTTAATTTATTAAGTGACTAAGTGTTCCAATGAAAATATTAAATTTTTTACAAGTAAGAGTGGGCTGTACTTAGAGTAGGGGTGGGTGAGCATGATCTAACAAACTTTTTAGGAAGCTAGGATTGATATGTAATATAAATTCGTAAGGCTAAGCTAAGCTAAACTTAACTTTTAGGTCTCCGTATTAAATGGATTGAGATTGAAAATATTAGTCTTTGAGCCCGGCTAGGCTCGGCGTAATAATTAATATATTTTATATAATTTATATATTATTAAATCATAAAATTAAACACAAAACACTCACAATGCTATGGGTAACCACTTTTATGATCAGATTAATGTGTTTGTAGAATTAACCTAGATTTATTATTACTTTCACTTTGTGTGGCTATCTGGTGGAGGCCAAACTTTGAAACTATAATGTACCCCTATTTCCCTCCACATATCACAAAGCCTAAGGTAGTAGAGGATCTTTGGACTTCCCAGTGACACATGGAATAAATTTGTTTTTTCCCTGATTGAGTTGTCTTGAAATCAGCTGTCCTGAAGAGGAATTTTCAATGCAGGAGTGTAAGAAGCTTTTCCTTGTTCACTTGTCTGAAAGAGAGTACTTCGCAGTACCCAAAAATTTGAAACTGCTGGCCGTTCCCCTGTTTGAGCTCTATGATAATGTTCAGGTGTGTTGACATTTAAGCTTCAATTTTTATTCTTTTTCAATTTTTAAGGAAAGTCAATTCACAAGAGAAATTTGAAAAAATAAAAATAAAAAATCAAAGAAGTATAAACCTAGAATTCAATTGAATGAAAATTGAAAAAAAGAATGATCAAATTGAAGAGGGATACAAGTTCATATGACAGCCCAATTTAACTTTAGAAATGTATATACATAAGAATTTCAATTAATGTATGTAGGAGTATTTAAATTTAGCATAGTGTGAATCACACGTAATGAATCAAATCCACACATTTTAAAATTTGAATTTTTTTTTTAAATATTAAGTTTAATTGATAGAGGAAGCTCCCAACAAAAAAACAAACTTCAATACAATTAACATCTAAATCCACTTTGCTAACTAAAAAACTAAATGATTCATGTATAACCACAAGAATAGATCAAAGAATTTCAATCACTACTTAAAAAAAAAAAAAAAAAAAAGAAGAAAAGTGAAGAGAACTCACATATCATCCATGAACTTGATAGAAACCAAGACACTGGTAATGAGAACCGATGCACAATGAAGGAATTGATCGGCAAAAGTGGTTGGCTGTGCACGAACCGATCAAGAAAAATGTAGGTGACAACAAAGCATGATGAGCTACAATTGGCGAACTTGAAGATAAGAGATGAATGTCTTGCCTCGTCAGTCGTTGTTCACCCTCGTCACGCGTCGCTGCTGCTCGTCACTCCGGCAAAGGCCGTCGTTCACCGTTCACTGTTCACCCTCGTCACTCTGCGAAGACCGTCGCCGTCGAAGATTGGGGATTTTGGGATCAATGGATTTTGATTTGGGATTTTAGGGATTTTGGGACACATGATTGCGAATGGGCCACTGAAATGAGCGGGATATGAAAAAAACTTTTTTGCGACGGGAAATTTTAACCGTCGCAAATGGTACATCATTAACAAATGAAACGACGTCATTTTTACCCAGAGTATTTGCGATGGGTTTCTGCCGTCGCAGATGATCCACCATTTGGGACGGTAACTTTTTACCGTCGCTAAAGAATACTTTTTGCGACGATATACCGTGCGTCGCAACTGTTCCTACATTTTTCTTTTAATTTCATTAGCGACGGAAGTCATACCCGTTGCAGAAGCCCATTTTTATTGACGGTAAATAAACGCTGTCGCAAAAGAAATTTTTGGCGACGGAAATTACACTGCGTCGCAAAAAAACCACTTTTTGCGACGGCAGTTACCCCGTCGCAAAAAGCTCCGTGTTATTTGACAGGTTTTCTTGTAGTGATGTGAAGACCCTCAAAAATTTATCAATTGATTATCGACTTTAGACCTGAAAATCTCATTGCCAGGCTTGCTTATCCCTCCTTAGAGATGGCATAATTATTTAGTAGTCACGTAATAAAAATTTTACAAATGAAATGTGATGACAAGATTGTATATGCAAGGTGGAACTAACAAGAATACATGTTCAAACACAAACAAAGGTGGATATTATAATATATAAGTATGACTATAATACTTTGCTAAAAAACTATTTTTATAATTTTTAATATTTTATTATTTGTAGTTGGTTGGGAATAATAGAATGGCCTGTATTTGGATTTATTTTGTTTAGTATGCATTTATTGAGTTTTTAAATAATTTTGTATGAAGAAAGTAATATGCCTGAAAAATGTGGAATTGTGGTTAGGAAATCTACATTATATTTGAAGTGAAAAAGGTACAAATAGAAAATGGTACAAACAGTTACATTTTTATTTGAATACATGAATAACATGATGAGAGGGTAATTTTTGAGAAAAATTGGGCCGAGCTGAGAGTTGGGCATTAAGGCCCAAAACGCGTAGGACTGCGTAAAAAGGCCGTACTGAATACTCCGACCTAGAGGGCAAGGTTATTCCGGCCTTGGGGAGACAAAGTTACTTCGGCCCAAGGAGGTGAGTTTATTCCGGCTCAAGAAGAGATAGTAGCTTCGGCCCAAGGAAGAGTAAGGCTACTCCAATCCAGAGACAACTCGGAGTAGGTCCGGTCTTAGAGTTAGTCCGGTCGCAGTATGTTCTGGGAGGACCGGTTTCAGAGTTAGTCCGGTCATGACACAATCTGGTTAGGTCGGTCAAAACTTGTTACTTGGAAGTCTGATCTAAGCACACCAAGGCTGAACAGGGACAGCCGAAGTAATGAGTTAAAGGAGAAGACCGAGCTAAGGATAGTTCGGCCTTCTCTGTGGCTCAGCATAGCCCGTGTTATTTCGGCCATGTGGTAGTTCGGCCATGAAGAAAACCATCCCACTTGGTTTAAGCAGTGGGGAGGGTGTAAAAGGATAAGCATTATCCTTAGGAGAATGAATCCTAGGAGGACTCTGCATGGAGAAGTGCAAGTCCTACTAGGATTGTGCGACGGGAAACTTATAAAAGCTCACAAGCATCACCTTGGAGGAGGTAATTGAACACAATCTTTCTGAGAACTTAGAGCTTTGTCTATTTGTCAAGTTTTCTGACTTAGGCATCGGAGAGGTTTCCGGCATACACCCGCCGGCTAGCTCACGTTTGTGTTTTCAGGTGACAAAGCGACGTCGTACTGAGGAGCGTGGACTTGGTCAACAGGATTATACGAGGAGAATTATTTCCTCCCCGTACAATTGGCGCCGTCTGTGGGAAGAAACAGACAAGAACAAAAACCTCTTGACTAAGCTTCTCCTTTCTCGCAAATCAATGGCACACATTGAAGACTTGCCGCAGTCCGCCGTCGACGGACTAACTCCAGAAGGGGGCGCAAGGCGTGAGGGATTACCTGCTGTCCCTCCCATGGCGGACTTGGAGCCCCAGCAACATAATCCCAGGAGGAGCGGCAGGGGAAGGCGGAATGGCAGCCCTCGTCACTCTCAAAGTCCCGACAGGCAAAGGAGGAGGATTGATCCTCAAGCCCTGGAAGATCGCGTAAAGGAACAAGATGAACTGATTCGGAGAATGGTGGCGGACATGGAGGCCTTGAAACGCCAGATGAAGACCAAAGATGTGGCGACAGGAGAGGGGCGCAAGCACAAGAAGCCCCCTCGCCACTCAGAAAGTCGTAGTCGGAATACTACACCCTCTCAAGGAGAGAGCAGAAGCCTCAGGACAGGCGACACTCACTCCTTATCTTCAAGGACTCGTCACTCCAGGTCTGAGAGGACGAGATCCGAAAGATCATACACTGAAGGAAGCACGTATTGGCCTTCACATTCACACCAAACCAGATCCAGACAAACAGAGCTGCCCAGGTCATCCGACTTACGAACCGTGCTAGAAGAAAAAGCACGATGCAAGGAAGATGCCAGGGCAAGGGATCCACACCGAGTTTCGGCCTTACAACGGTTGGCTCCTCGGACGCACGGAAGCATCGAGGTTGGAATGCCAATACCGCGACCAGCCTACGAACCAACGGACAAGGCATTGGCAAGACTACAGACTTCGCCGTTTGTCCCAGCGATCGAAAACGCTCCCCTACCATCAGGCTTCCTTCAGCCGAAGTTCAATACATATGAAGGGAAGACGGACCCGTATTCACACTTGAGCCACTTTCGTCAAGTCATGGCCGTGTACAGGCGAAACGAGGCCTTAATGTGCATACTTTTCCCATCAAGTCTGGGCGACTTAGGCTTGACTTGGTTCGAAAAACTCCCAGAGGGCAGCATAGCCTCCTGGGCCCAATTGGCAGAATCGTTCGTGACAAGGTTTCGGACAAACACAAAAACACCGGTGGAGATAGACCAGTTACTCTCCATCGACATGGGTGAAAAAGAGACCCTCAGATCTTACAACAGTCGCTACTGGGAGACATTCAACCAGATTGGAGACTGCCCCACCAATCTAGCCATTGCGCAATATAAAAGAGGCCTACCAGTAGGGAACCGACTAAGGGATTCAATTACCATGACGCCACCCCTCACCATGGAGGCCCTGATGGAGAGAGTGCATCAGCACATCAGGGTAGAAGAGGATGGCGCGCGTGCTAAAGCAAAATCAAGTACGACCGCGGCACCAGAAAAGAAAACCCCTACCAAGGTCAACACGGTTGACCGAAATAACAAGAACGGACGTGGCAGACGTGATAACGGAGAAGATATAGATAAAAAATGGTTGAGAATCCGCACTGCCATAACAACGGTGTTCAAGAAACCAATATATCGGATTCTGAGCGAAATAAGAGATGAGCCTTTCGTCAAGTGGCCAGCCAAGCTAGGAGAATCCCAGAAAGACTACGACGACAGATCACGGTGCACCTTCCACCAAGAAAAAGGGCACCGAACTGAGAATTGCACGCCACTGAGACAGCACTTGGAAGAATTGGTGGCAGCAGGACACTTGGATAAGTACATTGAAGGAGGGACGCAGCCAGCCCCCCAGGACCATAATAACCACCCCAATGGAATGCCAATAGACGCCCCGCCTCAAGGCGTCATCAATGTCATACATGGAGTCTTTGAACCTGAGCGTGTATGCGAGCTCAGGGGATCGATCAAAAAGGCAGAACACTTTAGAGAAGTACTAAGTACCCAACCAGCCATCAAGAAAGGGAAGACGGAGGCAACAAACGTCATGACTTTTTCCGACAAAGACTTGGAACGAATTTACTGCCCCCACAATGATGCCCTGGTCGTCACTCTCCGAGTCAAGGATTTTGACGTCAAGCGGATTCTGATTGACCAGGGTAGTTCATGTGAAATCATGTACTACGAAACATTCAAACAGCTAAAGCTGCAAGACAAAGACTTGGCACCTGCCGTATTCTACCCCTAATTGGGTTCAACTCCATGCCAGAATGGCCCCGTCCGGCAAAATCATTCTTCCAGTCAGAGCAGGAACCGTGACAAAAACAAGTGGAGCTTCTGTATTTGAAGTCCCCTCCACTTCACATCATCTTAGGCAGAACATGCTGCATGCCATGCGACAGTGGCGTCA